GGGGGATGTCTTACTTTCAGGGAAATAGGGTATATATTTATGTGCATATGTATAAATAATTACAAATATATATTTAAAGTAACTTATTGGGGGCTCTTACAACATTCCATCCATCAACTGTACCAAGCGTATTTGTACATTTGTTGCCCACATAATTTCCAAAACACTTTCTACTTGAGCCCTTGGTCTAAGCTCCTCTTTTTTCCCCTCCCTCCCCCCACCCTCATGAATCCTCGATCAATTATATATTGTTATTATTATTTAGTATCTTACACTGTCCCTTGTCTCCATTCACCCACATTTCTGTACATATTTATATATAAATCGCATAAACAATTATATAAATTTCTTTTAAAATTACAGAACTAAAAAATAAAACTAAAAATCCCCAAAGATGAAGAACAAAATTAAAAATGCTTACAGATGCCTTTTATCTGTTGATTAGCATTATTTCTTATTTACTCAACCTTAATTGCTAACTGATACTTAACTATGGCTTAAAATCTGTTTCTCGTTCTATTTCATGCAGAACTAAGCTACTTAAAAGGATCCTTTGATCTTTTTATAAGGCAAGAAAGCCTGTTGTGATTTAATAATTTTCTCTTGTCATTTATCCATTTGCCAGTAAGAGGGTCTAGTAATTATGTCCAGAATTTTAATACGAGGCCATCACCTTGAAGGTGGCACCCATACAGAGGGCCTTTCTCATACATCACCCTTCTTCACAGCATAGTATTTTAATGGACTAACTTCAGGCCACAATATTTAGACAGCAGCTGGGTGGCTGAACGAAATAATGGCATTCTAAGAAGTTGCTTCCATATTTTAGCTCTTGGAAAACCCAAGCCCATTGCCGCTGAGCGTGGCGGAAAGCAAGCCTTCACGGGCAGAGTCGGCCACTGCGGCAGGGTTGCCAAGCGGTCGTCTTCGTGTGGCCCACAGGGTCGCTCTCAGTTGGAATGGACGGAATGGAATGGCTGTGGGTTCGCGTGAATTATAATGTTCCTGAGGGCATACATCTTTAGGAAAAGAAAGCAACCCATCAGCTGTGGGTTCTAAGTGCCCACCTGTCCGTTAGCAGCCTAGCGCTTAACCGCGGCACCACCAGGGTCCCTTTGCCTCCTACCAAGCACACCCTGTAGAAGAAAGGTGTGGCACAGAGAGACGAGCTCGGAGCAGTTGAACTGTCTTACAGGGTTAGGAAGGGGTTGATGTGGTTCATTTGTTTTATATGATGAAAACACTTGTATGGAATCCACCCCGACTCTCAGAGTTTTCTGTGTTTCCTGTGCAGTGTTTCCAGGAGCAACCGAAGGGCGGCCTTGCGAATAGCAGTCCGGCGGACCCGACAGCGCCCCGGCTCTCTCCCGCCGAGCTCACCCTGGCGTCCCCGGAAGCCATTTGACTGAGGTAACTTGCCTGAGCCGCGCTCAGCGCACTTGATGGAGACAGAGTTTCCAAAACGCTCTCATGGTTCTCACCGACCTAAATTACACATTCTCATTTTCTGATGTTTAGTCACTCACGGAAAGCTCTCATCGTAATCCAAACGCCTGGTTAAATTCGTTCGCCCCGTGGCGGTGAATTATAGCCTGAAAAGACTTTACAAGACACCCAGACCACGGGAGAACACTACAACTCCCAGCAAGCAGCGCTTCCCCTTCTCGGCCCGCCCTCGCCAGCCGTCCAATGGGCACGCTCCGAGAGCCTGCTCTCGGTTCTATTGGTAGACGTCCCGGGCGGTGAGGCCCGAGCAGGAGGGGGAACAACAACAAAAAAACCCCCAAAGAGCTCCGCCCCGGATAGCACATTTCCCGCTACCGCGAGGAGCCGTACGGAAATGCTAGAAAAAGAAGGGGCTCCCGATTGGACGTGCCGATGCCGCCGTAAATGGATCCAGCCAATCACAGTGTGCGTTTGCTTTCAGAGTCCCCGCCCTTTCCTGTAGCTGCTCTCTGGTGGCGGGAAAACTTAGGAAGTTTTCGCGCCGCGGAGGAGTCATTTTAGGGTCTGGGCGCCACTCCTAGGACTTCAAGGCCGCGGCCATGGCCGGGACTGTGGTGCTAGACGACGTGGAGCTGCGGGAGGCGCAGAGAGAGTACCTGGACTTCTTGGATGACGAGGTGAGGGAGACATCGGGTCGCGAGCCTCAGACTTGCCGACCTGGAGAATGGTGGGCGGGGGAGGGCGCGTGCACCGCCGCTCCTGGCTGGAGCACCAACCTCAGAGCCCGGCGCTGAGACTTGGCTCCTGATCGAACCGAGTTGCTGGTTCGGGGCCCACGGGTGGAAGAGCCCCCCCAACCTGATCTTGTAATCTTGTAAACTTTATCACAGCGGGGGTCTCTCTGATTGGTTTTCTATCGATGAAACTGAGCGGTCTGCTAGCTGGTGGAAGAGCACCCCCAACCTGATCTTGTAATCTTGTAAACTTTATCACAGCGGGGGTCTCTCTGATTGGTTTTCTATCGATGAAACTGAGCGGTCTGCTAGCTTTCACCTAAGTACCAATGATGGCCGGGTCACATGAAAGGCGACAGGTTTCCTTCAAGTGCAAGATAAAGAGAAGAGACCACCTTGACTTTTAAGAAATCACTTTTGTCCCACTTTGGGGTGGGGGTGGGTGGGTATAATCACTTTGAGGACTAAGGTGTGCCTGCTCCAAGCTGTGGTATTCAATGACCTCTTATGCTTGTGAAAGCAGTGAATGAAGGGAGACCACGGGCGAATTGACACCCTTGAATTACGGTTTTGGTGAACTGCCCAAAGACTGAAGAAATCTGCCTTGGAAGAGAGAGGTACAGCCAGGATGCTTCTTAGACACGATGGAAGGGCCTGACATGGACATGTCCTTAGGAGGGAGGGACCAGTCCCTGGAAAAAAGGACATTGTGCTTGGTAAAGTAGCGCTTCAGTGACAAAAAGAAAGACCCTCAGTGAGGTGGATTGAACACAGTGGTTCCAAACCATGTGCCCAAATGTAATTAATGTAGGATGGTGTAGGCCTGGCTGTGTATAGTTGGGTCTGAGACTTCCACAGCACTGAATAACAGGAATTGCTTTAGGGTGGCATGCCTAATGGACTTGCTACTGGGAGGAAAAGACTTGCAAATTTAGTTGCATTCTTTTTCCATACTGAATCAGATGCTGATAAAGAAGGCTTTGTGTGCCGATGAAGGTAGTTTCATAGGCAGGTTAAAAAAAAATTTTTTTAAGAGTTTTTGTATGCTGGTGACAGATCCTTTTGACACAGCGGTTAAAATGCTAGGTTGCTAACTGGCAGTTTGCAGCCTTGGAAACTTCATAGGGTAGTTCTACCCAGAGTATCCGAAGTGCAGGTAAAGGGGGGTTTTGTATGCACCTGGGGATCCAAAACTAGTGATAAAACACCTTGAAGTTATGGTGATGCTGTATCTGTCATCAAATAACTAAGGCGCCTGCTTCCAGCTCTCCTTCAGACTAGATATGCGAGCTCTTATATCTAGGTAATGGGGTGGGGGGAATCTTAGTTATGCACATAAATTTAAAAGATATGTAATATTAAAAAGAGAATTCGGTAGAGCAAGGGTTTTACTCGTGTTTCTTTTAGACTTCATATACCCTCATTTTCATTGCCCGCCAAAGGTTGAGGAATGACTGTACAGAAACATTTTAACAGGCTGTTGATGATAACAGAAGTGATAACTTGGACCACTATGCATGAGGAAGTCATCACGGATTCCTGCCATGTCCCCAGAGAGTAAATTGAAGAGCTGGGGCTAGAGAGTGAAAATGTGGGGAAATGGATGACTGCATCCTTGGGGTTGAGTTCTGCTTTAGAGATGGACTGACTCGTTTATCTTGCTGTGACAATTGTCTCTGATTGAAAACGTTCTGCTTTTTAAGCTAGTGCCTCTTTTGCAGGAAGACCAGGGGCTTTATCAAAGCAAAGTGAGGGAGCTGATCAGCGACAACCAGTACCGGCTGATAGTCAATGTGAATGACCTGCGCAGGAAAAACGAGAAGAGGGCCAACCGGTGAGAGCCAAAGGCCTCCCCCCAGGGACCTCCTACCTCTGAGTGATTCCTCCCCCCTGTCTTCCCCAGATCAGAACAGACTTTCCAGCATAGGACCTGGATCAAACAGGATTGACCTAGAATCCTTCCTCCCCTCCTTCTTGGTTCTTTGTTTTTCTTCCATAAGTAGGTGGTGGACGTTTCCTCTCAAGTGTCCTTTCTTCCACTCTTTTAACTGGGTTTTGCGTGTGTCTACATTGTTCATAAGTTATTTTAAAGTTGGCCTTCGGTTCTGATGCATTTTACTGTGTTTTGTTAGATGGTTGGAGAAAGTAGGAACTGGGGTTTTTTTACTCCTTGGCCTTGGTGACCTGCGAATGCCTGTTTCTGTTTTTCAGGATCAAGTTTTGGAAGTTCTGTCCTCCCTGTCTAATGTTTATTCCTGTCTCTCTGCAGCCTCCTGAGCAACGCCTTTGAGGAGCTGGTTGCCTTCCAGCGGGCCCTAAGGGATTTTGTGGCCTCCATTGATGCAACCTATGCCAAGCAGTATGAGGAGTTCTACATAGGACTGGAGGGCAGTTTCGGTTCCAAGCACGTCTCCCCTCGGACTCTCACTTCCTGTTTCCTCAGCTGCGTTGTCTGTGTGGAAGGCATTGTCACTAAATGTGAGTGCTTTACAGGTGGGGGTCAAAGGGAATGGGAATGGACAGGCGTGGTAGAGTTGGGGAGCTTGTGACTTTAGAAAGGCGGAGTATCAAATACAGGGTGAAACTTGGGGTGACCCAGAGTGCACCCTGATTCGAATCACCTCGAATGAAGAATGGATTCTGCCGAGTACTGGTGAAGAGCTGGGTTCCTGGCATCTGCCTCATTCCAACCCTAACCACTTACCACTGTCTCTTAGTTGGAATGAGTTGTACTTATTTCTGCATAGATAGGGTGAGATACCCGCTCTGATGGAGATCGTGTTTTCATCTCTTCACATTTCCCTCAAAGAATTGTGTGCTCTTTGATGTAAACCTACTTGTTGTTGACCCTGTGAGTGTGTAAATCAGTGTGTAGCCCGGTGCTTTCTTCAACCCAGTGTGTCGCTGGGCTCCTCCCTTTTACACCATGTCAGCATGGCAGTTTGGACATCCTTGAGGGATTCAGCTGGTGTCTCTGTAATCTTCTTGGTGTTTTGGAAACAAAAAGAATTCTGAAGGGACAAGACAGGAGCTGTAGGGTGGATGGGGTAAGGTACTCCTAAAGAATAAGCAGATGCATGGTCTTGGTGGGGGAAAAAACTCCTTAGTGGAACCTTCCTGGACCTTTTTTTTAATTGAAGACACTAATGAGACTAAGACACGTGTTTTACTGAGAGAACGTGTCTGCAGCCACACGCTGACTGCCGAGCGTGTGGGCATGTTTGGAACAAACCCCTGTGCATGTGTGTGTATGAACTGATGCAAGTTCCTGAGTGTTGCTCATGGCTAGTGCATTTGGCTGCTATCTGAAAGGTTTGAAGTTTTGAGTCCACCCGTCAGCTCAGAAGAAGAAAGGTCTGGCAGTCCACTTCTGAAAGAGTAGCCACTGACACCCGGCACACCTGGCGGAGCACAGTTCTTCTCTGACACACATGGGGTCTCTAAGGCAGAGTTCACACGACAGTGACTAGTGTGATTTGGGCTGAGATCACTTAAACGATTCTGAAGAAGATCTTACATGCTGACCCGAGTGTAAATCCAGTCCACTGCTGTCCAGATGGGTGATTTTTTTTTTCCAAGACATTTCATTTATTTGTCATTAGAAATAAATATTTCACAATATATAATTACATACTGGTTTTGTGATAGATGGGTGATTTTTAAATGCACGCTTTTTTCTCCTAGGTTCTCTAGTTCGACCCAAAGTTGTCCGCAGCGTCCACTATTGTCCTGCTACGAAGAAGACCATTGAGCGGCGTTACTCTGATCTCACCACTTTGGTAGCCTTTCCTTCCAGCTCCGTCTACCCCACCAAGGTGAGGGAATAGAAGAAGTCGGGCCTCCTAAGGGTCAGGAGTCAGAGATGCTGTTTTCATGCAAGTCATTGGGTAATAGTGGAACTTTTTCTTTTAGAAATAATGACAGTTTAAAAAAAAAAAGATAAAATGCAGCCATCAAACCAAAAAAAATGATTTTGAAGCAAAGATTGTATGCTGGACAGAGTTCTGTAGGGTTTGTTTTTGTTTTTTTAAGTAAAGAATAACTTTAGCAAATTTGGAAAATTATAGGAGTGACAAAGGAATAGATCTATTTGATCTGCTTAGATCTTTTAATTAAGTGACAATCAAATTTGTAGTTTAATAATTTGCTTTTCAAATAGAGCACGCAAAACTACAAAGGAGTTTCAGAAAGTTCATGGAAAATTTTCACTACCTTTTGATTTCACTTTTCCATAAATTTTTTGCAGCGTCCTTGTGTTTCTGATCCGTGACTCTAGTTTTTGCAAATAATAATTTATTGTGTGTAAATCAGTGTATCAGTTTAGCCAGTCCTCTGTTGAATACTTAGGGTATAGAAAGCCTGTAATTCTTTTTCTTTTAAGTGGTGTTTTAGATGAAAGATTACACTGCAAATTAGATTCCCATTTAACATTCCCATACAAATTATCAGTCACATTGGTTCTGCTTTTCATCGTGTGGTTCCTGTTTCTAGTAATTTAGCATCCCTGCTTCTTTTCCCCATCTCGTCTCAAAGTTAGGGTAAAAGACCATGTGGTGTCATAGAGCAGGTAGTTCTCACAGGTGCTACTCTATTTGATGAGCCAGTCTGTTCTTCAGCTGACAGGCAAATGATCTCTGGGAAGAGTTTGGAGGTTCATTACATCTGGACCTTTTCAGAACTTCAGTTCTGCTCCACCTGGTTTTCCCATTCTATCAGGATCCCTCTGTCATGGCCCTGACCTGAATGCAGAGCCAATAATCCTGGAAGTTTGTTTTAGAAGCAGTTTGGATAATTTGGGAGAAGTTTTACTTTGGTAGCGAATGCACCCGCCCCATCCAAATTTGTCAATTTGGCTAGGTCAACATGTAATATCTTCCATTTTGTGATATTATATACTACCCTACTGGGAATCGTCTTTTATTTTATTTAAGTTTAATTACACACATACAGGAGAGCTCACCTATGTGGGACACCCACACTTACATAACTCTTCTCCCATGTGGATGCTTTCTCCTCTTCGGCTTGAGAAATCATGCTGCTGTGGACATTTCATCCTTCCACAGGCTTGTGCTGAGCATTTTTGTTGGGTATTGCCCAGGAGTAGAATTCGCACGTCACAGTTTAGGAGGAGTCAGAACCTTGCTTTAGATGTTAATCTGATTTGGGGTATTCTAGCCATGGTCTTTTCAGATAACATTTTGTCCCTTCCTTTAGATGGCTGGTTATTAGAACAGTTGTAAATACAAAGAGCTGGAGAACATAGTTAACCATTTTTGTTTCTGGATTGTCTCAGTACATGCTCTCCAAATTCAGTTTGCCTCCCCCCCAACAACAGGTGGGGTGGCACTTGTGAGATGGGCCTGCATTGGTAAGTACTGCTCACTGTGTCTTCCTCCAGGATGAGGAGAACAACCCGCTGGAGACAGAATACGGGCTTTCTGTCTACAAGGACCACCAGACTATTACCATCCAGGAGATGCCGGAGAAGGCCCCAGCCGGCCAGCTGCCCCGCTCTGTGGACGTCATCCTGGACGACGACTTGGTGGACAAAGTGAAGCCTGGTGACCGAGTCCAGGTGGTGGGGACTTACCGGTGCCTTCCTGCAAAGAAGGGAGGCTACACCTCCGGAACCTTCAGGTAAAGGGCCAACCGTCACATGTTCGCGATTCTCTTTGGCTGCTTTACTTCCTGGTCGTATTCTTTTCTTCAGTGTACAGTATTCCAGAGAGTGGTGTCTGATAGATTAGGTAAAACTGGCGATACTGTCCAAAAGTGAGCTTCTGGGTAACATGGTCATAGCTTCCCTGTGCACTTCTGTCTGAACTCGGTGGGTCAACAGGAGGTAGAAACATTCCACAGGTGAGGCATGGGAGGTTAACGTATTTGGGCAGAGAATCGGTTGATGAGCTTAGAACAACTTCACCCACCCTCAATTTGCTATTTTGATTTAGTACACAAAGGTTTGCTTCTCCGAGAGTAACGAGCTCTGCTCCCATCGCCGCCATTGAATCAACTCCCACCCATCGTGACCCTATATGCCAGTAGAACTGCCTCCTTTGGTTTCTCAGACTTAAAATCTCTGTGGGAGCAGAGAACCTCATCTTTCTCCCATTGAGTAACGGGTAGATTCGAAGCACTGACCTTGCGGTTAGCAGTTCCTTGAGTAACCCACTATGCCACTCAGGCTCCTTCGGAGCTACTGTTAGGGATCAAAGATGAACAGGCGTCCTCTAATTCTCCTCTCTTCCCAGGACGGTCCTGATCGCCTGTAACGTGAAGCAAATGAGCAAGGATGTTCAGCCGTCGTTCTCTGCTGAGGATATCGCCAAGATCAAGAAGTTCAGTAAAACCCGTTCCAAGGTCTGGGCATCTTTGGGAATGACATTGTACCCTGAGTTTAGGGATTTGAGGGATGGTTTTGTAAAGGTTGTGTTTGCATGCATGGCCAGCTGTTGCGTTACTTACTTGTTAGAGTAGACCAGCCTCTAACTTCCATGGGGGTCTATAGGAGCAATTGTACAGTTATAATATATAGAGGTCATAGTAAAGTCACGGAAAACAGGAGAGAGAGTGAAATAAAGGAGTCAGACACATTTTATGGTAGCATGCTCACTTCCTTGACGGCCAGCATCTCAGCAGCCAGGCCTGCGCAGAGAGAGAGACGAGAGCCCCTTTATTTCTTAACAAGGCACTTAGGGGAGTGCAAGCCCTGATTCCAGGTTACCATGTACGTCACAGGAAGGGGCTGTACAATAGGCATACGTGTAACAGGAAGGGGATGAGCTAGGGGTGTACATGCAGTAGGAAGGGGAGGTCCTAAGGGTACACATGTGACAAGATGGGTGGACCCTAACTCAAGATAGCAGATAGCATTCTAACCTTGGTCACCCTTGAGTGGGCTGACCTCTCTGGCCTCTCCTTTAGGGAAACAATCCACTATCTTCATCAGAAGGGAGTGGGCCCTACTTAAGGTGGACAGACTATACAGTCTGATTGCTCTAGATGGCTGATAACCCTGAGAGAGAATAACCTCTAAGTGTACAGTCATTTACCATGTGTAGCAAGCAGCATCTTAGGTTTGGCATATATTTCAGGAAGACAACCAGGGGAAAAGGCCTTTTGTATCCCACACTTATTGGCCTCCTAAGTAGACCTATTACAGATATTAGAAGAAAATATTGACTATTGAGGCACCAGTGAGTCTTAGCCAAAACATTTGTAATGTATGATTATTTAACTTTTATACACAAACACACATACACACATACCTACAAGGAGCTTCAAAAAGTGTGAGGACAGTTTCCATTTTAAACCTCGTATTGTGATTTGGGTGAGTGCTTAGCAGGCAGATCACACTGGCTCTGCACCCTCTAATTCAGATGCACGGGGCTTCAGCTTGTTCACTGCAGGTCCTCAGTGTACCACCACTTGTCCTGCCGCCTCCCTGCCTTTCCTGCTCCTAACCCTTCTGAACTGTGTCCCAGGGAAGTGCTGCCCCTTGATCCCAAGTAGTTGGTTGATTGTTTTAAGGGGCACGTCCCTCACGAGCAGACGAGTCTCTTGTTTGGCTGAAAATCAACTGATGGGGTAAGTTCAGTTCTATACCCAGAGGCTAACAAAGGGTCAGTCTCAGGTTCCAGTGGTCTCTGTAGGATTAGGGCTTTTTTAGAATGTTGAGTTTCATTCCACCTTTTTCTCCAATTCCTTTCAGGGTGTTTGAATGTGATAATCTTAGAGCAGTTGGTGGAAGTGGCCAGCACCATTTAATTCTGGTCTCAGGATCCTATTTAATTCCATTGGAACTATTGGAACCCCCCTCATACATATTTTGCATCCAGGATCATTTGTGTGCTTTGACTGTAAAATACTATTTCAGTTTTCCGATGTGCTTTTCCCATCTTATTTCTTTTAAAGACAAGACGCCTTACTTAGAAATGAAGAAAAATGTATGAGTGTGCGCTGAAGGTTAATGCTGAACCATAAAATGACATGGAGCCTCAATTTTGCTTTCTTGAGGCCCTCTAAGCATACTTTACTTTCCGGGCTGCCTTTCCTGGCTCCCGTGAATGGTCTGGCTCTCTATGGATGAGAGCAGAAGCTTTGGCTATTGCAACAGCGTCCTTATTTGTGTATTTCGTCAAAGTACAACCTGTAAAGTACAACCAAGGAGCTCCACAAAGCCCTAGGGTACCTCACTGGCTTCTCATGGGCCCCGTTATTCCCTTAGGATATCTTTGACCAGCTGGCCCGGTCCCTGGCCCCTAGCATTCACGGGCATGACTACGTCAAGAAGGCAATCCTCTGCTTGCTCCTGGGCGGCGTAGAACGAGACCTCGAAAACGGCAGCCACATCCGTGGGGACATCAATATCCTTCTCATCGGTAAGCTGCTGGAGGTCTGCTCTCAGGTCGGCCCTGCCTTGTGTAGCATGCTCGTGCTACCTGCCACCTGGGAGCCTATGTGTGTTTTTGGGGCACCATTTCCATCAAAATTCTAGCAAAGGGCAACAGGATAAGGTGGGGGGGAAAAGTTGAGTTTTGGTTTCTGGATTTTCTGACTCAGAGTAATCCAAAGCTGAACCTCCAGAGGAGTGGGGGCAGTCAGGCATCATTCTTCAGTGTCCTAGGGGCAGTCACCACCACTTGCTTCCTTCCAATTTCAGGAGACCCATCGGTTGCCAAGTCTCAGCTCCTGCGGTATGTGCTGTGCACTGCACCTCGGGCGATCCCCACCACGGGCCGGGGCTCTTCTGGAGTGGGTCTGACAGCTGCAGTCACCACAGACCAGGAAACAGGTGAGGGCGGGAGAGGCCTTTGCAGAGATCCAACGGTGAGATTGAGCCACATCCCTTTAGCTAGCCCTAGGCCCTGATTTAGATTGGGAAAATATGGTGGAGGTCAGATTGGTTATTTCTGAGTACTCAGCCATCGGGGTGAATTTATATCTTTGATGAGACTAGAATGGCTAGAGCAGGGTGGGAGACCTTGGTCCTGCCCAGGGCCATTGGAATATTTTTACTATTCAGAGGCCACACAGAATTATCAACTTGAATATTATTGGCCTGCTGGATTTGGTCCTTTGATGGCTGGAAGTGCTTCTCTTTGGTGAGGCATGTGAGGCTGGCCGGGACTGCTGGACGATTCCACCAGTCTTCTACAGCCCGCTCACAGACTCTGGTGCATCAGATATCCCCCAGAAGGAGGCGTGAAAGAGTTTTGAAGGAGAAACTGTGTCAAATTGAGGACAACTCAGGTGGAGATGGATTGTCCTAGTCTGAATGAGGCAGGAGTTGGAAGAAAATGAAAAGACAGCAGGAGTCTAATTGGAAGATTGTGTGAGGAAAAAGAGTGAACCTCACAGGGAGGCAGGTTGCTTAGGAGTCAAGGTTTGGATCAGAACAAAGATGGTGACCCGCTTGGGGTTTCTACTACGGCTCTCAGACTTGACACCTTTTACGCTTCTCCTCGTGCGCCGCAGTGAGAGATGCCTAGGGAGGAAGCAGGGATCCCTTCCAACCTAGACCTCAGCATACATTCTCGCTCCTCACTCTGCAGGGGAGCGCCGCCTGGAAGCGGGGGCCATGGTCCTGGCTGACCGCGGCGTGGTTTGCATCGACGAATTCGACAAGATGTCTGACATGGATCGCACCGCCATCCATGAAGTGATGGAGCAGGGACGGGTCACCATCGCCAAGGCTGGCATCCATGCCCGCCTGAATGCCCGTTGCAGTGTCCTGGCCGCTGCCAACCCCGTCTATGGCAGGGTGAGTGGAAACAGGCACATCAGCCCGCCTCGCTTTCATGTAGTTTTTCTGAATAACTGGCCTCTGAGGTGTTTATTCTGGGCGACCAGGGGAGGGAAAAAGCCCAAGACGACCTTGAACATCTTGCTATCCTCCTTAGTTTGGGGCAGCGGTTCCTCACCTCTGTATATACCAAAGTCTTCTGTAAAGTCATTTGTTTCAAACGGATTGTTTAAAAAACACTAAATTGCCAATGAAAATGACCCACAGCCTCCCCACTCAGGTGTCTTAGCCTGGGCTTCTGGGGCGCAAAACCAGTGAGATGTCTAAAGTACACGCAGATTTACTGCAAGGAAATGGCTCCCACAAATGTGGGTCCTGCCAAGTCCTGAAGCTGTGGGTCCACTGGCAGGGTGGAGACTTCTACGGCCCTTGGGGTGGCAGGGGCTGTGGAATCCCCAGTCTGCAGGTCAGGTGGCTGACTGGAGGCTTCTGCAGGTTGGCTTCCTAAGAATAAGACATGTAGAGTGGGGAGGGAGGAGAGAGCAAAGAAGAGGGACGAGAACATCAGATCACACGGAGTGTGATTACATTGATTGTGGAACCTTTTCACTGGATGTAGAATTCTAGAGTGAATTTTTCTTACAGCACATTCAAGATGTCATTCCATCGTGCGCCACATGGCCTTCACAGCTTTATGAGAAGCCAGCGTTCGCTTGAACACTTGTTCTGTTGTACATGTTGTGTCCTTATATTTCTCAGCGACTTTTAAGTCATTCTTTTGATCTTGGGCTTTTAGCCTGGTAATGATGGGCTAGATGTAACTTTTCTATTTCTCCTGCTTGGGGTTTGCGGAGTTTCACGGTACTCTTTGTTAATAGCTAGTTGTTAGTATGGATTTCTAGTGATTGGTCTGATGTGAGGCGCCCTGGTGGTGTGTTGGGTTATGCTTTGCCGCAAGGTCAGCAGTTGGAAACCATCAGTTGCGCCACAGAAGAAAGACGAGGCTTTTTACTCCGTAAAGATTTAGTCTCTGAAACCCACAGGGCGGTTCTACCCTAGCCTATAGGGTCACTCTAAGTTGGAATTGACCCAATGGCCGTGAGATGTTGGTTTTTTAAACTCACTGGACATGTAATAGTCTGTCTCCACCCCCCACCCTCCCCCGTGCTATTATTAATGAAGTTGCAATGGACATCCTTTTACATGTATTCCGTCAGAATATACATTAGAATATACTGGACGAGAACCAAATTGTGTACCCTCAATGAAAATTCTATTGTAACGCTTATTAAGAAGCCCACTGCTACTGAGTTGAAACCAACGCACAGGATAGAGCAGAGCTGCCGCATAGGGTTTCTAAGCTGTGAACCTTGACAGACAGCTTCACCTTGCTCCTGACGAGTGGCAGGTGGGTGTGAACCACCTCCTGCGCTCTCAGCAGCCCCATGCTTACCCACGGCCCCACCAACACTCCTCTACTGTTGATGATTTATATCTATCCCCTCCTGCCAACCCTTCAAAGAGGCTCTAGTGGCATTGTGGTGAAGAGATGGGCTTCAGTACTCAAGATCAGCAGTTCAAAACCACCAGCTGTTCCTCAGGAGAAAGATGAGGCTTTCTGCTCTTACAAATAGTTACAGTCTCGGGACTCATAGGGGCAGTTTTTTACCTTGTCCTCCAGGGCCGCTGTGAGTTGGCCTTGACTCGATGGCAGTGTGTTTGGAGGGGGCTTTTTTTCAATCCTAGAGAGCTCTGGGAGGGCTGTATGCACAGTTACTGTCTTCATTGCACAGATGAGAACAGGGAGAGGGAGGGTAAATAACCAACCAAACAGATTTACAAGCCAGGAATTGGCTGTGTTGGGTCCCGCTGTGCATGAGGTCCCTGTTTTGGGTGGCAGTCTTCATGCAGCTGCCTGTACACCCCACCCCCCACCCAGAGTGCTCTGATTCCAAATCTCTGGGGTGGGGCTTTGGTAGCTGAGGTTCCAAAAGGCTGCCCAGGTGACTTCTGGGTAACGTGTGCTTTATGTCATTCTAAAGAAGACTTCTGGGAAATGAAAGGAGAAAGTGGCAGGCCCTGAAATGTAAGCGTGCAGAAAACGATGAGGCATACTGCCATGAGACCTAACGTTAGACCCTCTGACTGATGAGTGTGTGGGTGGGCAAACAACAGGCTAATGGGCTGAGAATTGAAAGACAGAGGCTCACGGGTCCCCAGATCTCAAGGCAAAGCTCCATTGAGGCCCAGACCTAATAGACCACTACCCTTTTTACTCATCACCTTCTGAGTAAGGGACCCCCAAGTTCCCACGTGCTGCTGTTTCATCCCATTTGCTCTGTGACCGGTGGGAGGGAGGGGATCTGTCCAGGGCTGACCTTGCGTTGGCAGTGAGAGCAGATGAAAGGCTGGAGGAAGAGGAAGGGGCTGGTTTCTAGCTCCTAGCAGGGTTCCGTTTGTCAGGAATCCTTGGTAGTGCAAACAGTTAAGCACCTGACGAACCAAAAGACTGGTGTTTGAACCCACCCGGTCGTGCCTCAGAAGAAAGTCCTGGCAGTCTTGCTTCCAAAAGGTCATCGCCTGCAAAAGCCTGTGGAGCAGTTCTACCCTGCACACACAGGGTCTCCATGAGCCCGAATCGGCTTGGTGACAACCAGTGGGACTTTGCTTCTAGCTGCTTGGAAGGCGTGAGGTGGCACTTGTGTTCGGTCCCCTGGCCTTCAGTGAGAGAAGGGCTGCAGGCAGCAAGAGATAATACTGACTACGTCAGTGGCGTTAGAACCGACAGCAGCCGCAGCTTTTTTGTTTTCACTGCTGCTCTGTTTTGTCAGCTCCCAGCACCAAGTTGGCCTCCCTGTCCTTCTTTCCCACCTGCTCATTCCTACCTGTCTGCTTCCTCCCCAGTATGACCAGTATAAGACCCCCATGGAGAACATTGGCCTGCAGGACTCCCTGCTCTCCCGCTTTGACTTGCTCTTCATCATGCTGGACCAGATGGACCCAGAGCAGGACCGGGAGGTCTCCGACCATGTCCTCCGGATGCACCGTTACCGGGCACCTGGGGAGCAGGATGGTGACGGTGAGGCCACACAGACAGGAAGAGCGACCCCCGAAAGTTAGCTCAGGCCCCGTCCAGGTGGTGCTGGCCATTCCTGGGCCTCGGTAGAGGTTGAAGCTGTGCCAGCCTGCTTATAGCCACCTCCCTTCTTGTTCAGTGGAGGTTGCCGAAAGGCATGGCGCATGTCTTTTGCCCACTCCCGAGCAGAGACCAGTTGGTTTCGTCTTCCTTAATGTGGATCCCACACGTCTCTTCTTTCGGGCTCCTCGCTTTGTGAGGCCTGCCTCTCTTTGCTCCCCTTCCTGGGCTACAGAAGAAGCCCCTTCCCAGAGGTCAGCTTTCCTCATTCTTCCTTCTCTTGGGCTTTCTAGCTATGCCCTTGGGGAGCGTGGTGGACATTCTGGCCACAGATGACCCCAACTTCAGCCTGGATGACCAGCAGGACACCCAGATATATGATAAGCATGACAACCTTCTGCATGGGACCAAAAAGAAGAAGTGAGCACATTCCTCATGTCTGATCCTGGGGGGTGCGGGGGTGGGTATTGTTTCAGTCGACAGACACAAGCATGTCCGAGCTCAGTGAGAGCAGCGTGCTGCCTAGGCCATAGCCGCTCTCGCCGTCTGTAAACTGTGGGCTGCTTTTCTTCTGGGTCTGTAGATACAACCTTTATCCTGGCCCATTGCCTTTTAATAGTTTGTGTGGGATTCAGCTCAGGTTTAGCGCCTTTCTAAAGCAGAAGGTTCTGATGGTACCATCATCTATGAAGGCCTGCGCATGTCTTGTAGCCATGTGTGCTGAGATGCAGCGAAGGGCCAATAAGTGCGAGTCATGGTGGGTTTGCACCTGTTTGCACAAAGGAGTGTTGTGGTCAGGCGTTGAAAGCCTAAGACGTGGGCTTCTGTAGCTCTGTTTTTGGCTAAGGTGCAGTTTTCTAAGCCATTAGTTTAAGAACACAAATTTGGGGGTCAGAAACCAGTTGAGTCCACTTACTTCTCAGAGTCATAATTCCCTCGGTTGTAAAGTAAGGCAAAAGGTAGCTGGGATAATCTTAAGGTCTCTTAAGATTATAGACTTCCCTGAGAATATGGGAAAGGTCTTGGAAATGGAAATGGGAGTTGCGATATGGGCTCTGTGCCCAGCCCCTGCTCTGCCACTTGCCCTTCGCTCTGAGGAGGCCCCACCAAGGCTCCAGGTGGGCGGTGAGGTGTGGCAGGGCAGGGGCTCACTCTGGCTGGGGTCCAGGGAGAAGATGGTGAGTGCGGCCTTCATGAAGAAGTACATCCACGTGGCCAAAATCATCAGGCCCGTCCTGACACAGGAGTCGGCTGCCTACATTGCAGAAGAGTACTCCCGCCTCCGCGGCCAAGGCAGCATGACCTCAGACACAGCCAGGGTGAGTACCCGGGGCAGGGCAGGCAGGCTTGGTTGGGTCCCTCTTGTGTGTGTGGTCGGGAAGTGGCCCTTTGCTATCTGGGCGCCCCTATCTGTGAACCTTTTAACTTAGTGTTTCTATCCTGACCATTTCTTTCTGGTCCAGTGGGTTTCCAGCTACAAAATCTTAATTTTATTTTATAGAGGAAACCGAAATGCTAACCTCAGCTAGTCTGTCTCTTTAACCCAAATTACACTGACCTGCAGAAGCTGCAAGTGTATTGCACCAACAAAGGATACAGTTCTGGGAACTAGTCTCTTCCTACAAGTGGGAATACAATAATCAGAGCTGTTCTCCAAGAACTCCGCTCAGCGAGGGGAAAGCAGAAAGATACGTGATACAGTTGGTCTTGGAACAGGGGTTAGGCTGGCAACTCCTGATGCCGTCGACGTCTCTGGGTAACTTTGGACTCTGAACTCTGAACTGCTCCTGCCCTGCTGTTGACTGGAAGCCTTTACCAATAGCCCAGTTAATAAACACATGCTTTGCATGTTATACGTGTATATATGTGTCATATGCATATGTGTATATATTATATACAGTGTATATGTATTACATACTGCATTGATGTAAAAGCTGCATTTTCAACGTGAGATAGGAAAAAATACTTTGCAAGTTTTCTTTTTTTAAAAGTAATGAAAATTTTGATTTTCATCTTCCTTTAATTGTCATACATTTTTATTTATTGTGAATTAATCTTTGTATTACTTTCTGCCCAGTATATAGCCCTCATTGTTTTGCTTTAATAATTTTTAGTTTTATTGGCACATAATCCACACGTCAAACAATCCAGTAGTTCAATTATATCAAGAAGAATTATATAATCATTACCACAATCAATTTTAGAACATTTTCTCCTCCTCCCCCCAGTTAAATAACTTTTAGAATGAGTTGTGTAAAGAGTTTACTTTTTTCTTTTTAAAATTAAAAAAAAATCATTTTATTGTTGGCTCATACAACTCTTATCACAATCCATCCATCCATCCATCCATTGTGTCAAGCACATTTGTACATTTGTTGCCCTCATCATTCTCAAAACATTTGCTCTCTCCACTTGAGCCCTTGGTATCAGCTCCTCACTTTTTTGAGTTTTCTTTTTCACCATGGTCCTTGACGGGGGATTTATTTATCTTGAAATGGAGGGCAGCCAGAGCTGCAGACTTCCATCTGATACCTGTCAAGGAATTCATCTTTTCTCCAAACCTCAGACTTGTCTCTGTTCCTTGAGAGCCCTTCCAGCATCACTAGGGGCACGTCCTGAGGGTTCTCAAAGTGGTGGTCAAGTTTGACGATATCTTAACTAAACATGGTGAGAACGGAAGAGCAGTCAGTGTTCGTTCGATGCGAAACTTACAGGAGAGACTAACTGCTCGCCTGGAGATGATTAGCATTACATGACATTAAAAGAAAATCCATATTTAAGTAGACCAGTGCCGGTCAAACCCATGTTTAACCGCCAAGTATACATCTTTATAACTCTAGACCCCAGCGTGGTACTTTGAAGAGCCCTGGTGGTGTTAGGCCAGTGCCTCCTTACACTAGTACCCACTCCCCTGGAGAAAGGGGGGGCCAGCTGCTCCTATAGAGATGTGTAGCCTTGGAACCCCTAGTGATCTGTAGGCTCTCTGTGAGTCAGAGTTGGCTCCACAGCAGTGGGTAGTGTTCCTTATAAAAAAGGAGCCCATGTGAAGGCTCCGGATGTACAGGTGAAATAGCTACTAAATGTCCTACTTTCTGACTTTGAGCCTGCTTCCCATGATTTCTACTTAATAAGCCTTAATGTTTGTTTTGTGGTGATTGTGGATAAATCATCCCCTTTCTCCCCAGTGTTCCTTCCCCGAGATGAATACGTTCTTCCAGTGTGTCACAGGCCCTCTCTCTGGACCTAGAAGCGAGCATAATAAATAACTGCTTAGCAGTGGTCTTCCTCAGTGGCACTGTAAATCCTTCCTCTTGCATGCTATAGTTCTGTTATTATAGGCCAAGAGTTCAATAGCCTGGTAGGTGACTCAGTAATTGAAGTTTGCTATGACATCATCTCCAAGCTCTGGACGTCCTATACAGATGATTATGCTAGCTACAGAAAATAAGTGTAGTTTTAATTCTTCCTGATTGGGACATCTTTTTTTTTTCTTTCCCCTAATTGTTCTGACTAGAGCTTCCAGTGCATTACTGAATAACCCACTGCCCTTGAGTTGATTCTGACTCATAGTGACCCTGTATGGGGTTTCTGAGACTTAACGTATTTTTACCGGAGCAGACTGCCTCATCTTTCTCCCTCGGAGTGGCTGGTGGGTTTGAACCTCTCACTTTGAGGTTAGCAGCCCAGTGCCCAACAGCGGTGAAATTGGCCTTCTTTGTGTTGCTTATCTTAAGGGGAAAGTTCTCAGTCTTCGCCGGGCATAATATAAGCTATGGGTCTTATAAATGCTGTTTTTCATATTGAAGAATTTTCTTTTATTCCTAGCTTATTGTGAGCTTTTATTATGAAAGGGTATTGGCTTTTATGAAAGACCTTTTCTGTGTCATTTGAGATAATGATGTGGTTGTTTCCCATTGTTCTGTTAATGAGAGGTTCACACCGATTCCCGGGAAATCCTGTTTGGTGGAGTGTTTTGGGAATCACTTGCTAGTATTTTGTTGAGGATTTTTCTACTTTATTCCTAAGGCGTGTTAGTCTGTAGTGTTCTTCCTGGTAGCTTTCTAAATCATTACAGGTTTGTTCGTGATTTTTTTTTTGAAATGTGAGATGATGGGTCCCATTTTTCTATAATGAGGGATCAGTGGGTATCAACACCTTCTCCAAATTATGAAAGGGGATTGACTGAGATGATGACTATGAAAGCATATTGCTCGGTCGGTCTTTGGCAGGCACAAAGAAGATTCCTGTTCCCCCTTTTCAGCCATTACCCTGTCCACTGTACTAAGCCTAGTGTTAGTCATCTTCCTCCTTGTTCCCCAAACCCCCCACCAATGTATTGCCCTGGTCATTGTGTTTTTCTTTCTAATCTCGTTTCTATACAGAACAGAGTTCTGAATTTTTGCTTCAACTTCTTGGAGCTTTTATTTCTCTCTGCGCTGGGAATGGTGGGCATGTCTAAAGAATTCTGGATAAGTAGTCCTGCCTTGTGTTCTCCACTAGACATCTCCAGTGACAGCCCGGGCACTGGAGACCCTGATTCGTTTGGCCACGGCCCACGCCAAGGCCCGCATGAGCAAGACTGTGGACCTCCAGGATGCGGAGGAAGCCGTGGAGCTGGTCCAGTATGCTTACTTCAAGAAGGTGAGCGTTCAGGTGCCTGGGCCTGAAACAGAGTAAATGGTTGCTGCATGGGCTCCAACAGCCTCCATGGTGACCCTGGAGTTTGGATTGTCAACAGAAAGCAGCATTCGTCTGCCAGTGTTCAATACCCCTCTCTTCCTTGCGAGAGTCACCGGAAAGCTTCAGCCTACTGATCCCAGGGTCCCTGGGAGTTCTGGCTTTTGGATGGGCTCCGCCTTCCGTCACCTGTGTCTCTCGTCTGCTCAGACTGTCTTTGCCCTTCAAGTGGGCATTTCCAAAGGCCCTGCCTTGGGAATTCTCCCTTTGCCTCTTCTGTACCTTTCTCTTCTGCGGTCCTATTGACACCTGAAACTCATGTTGGAAGCTGAACGCTCAGAACTTGCCTCTCATCTTGTTTCCCCGTTTCTGCTTGTGACGCTGCTTCTCTCTGTCTTGATTACCAGGTTCCCAACCTTCACTTTCTTTCCCTCCTGTAGCCCCTCCACCGTTTGGGTCATTGTAACCCTTGTGGTCTACTTTTTCTTTTATAAACAAAACTTGCCCATGAAAAAACCGTACACATAGCACCTATAGCACCCGTAAGAAGCTAATGGGCAAAGAGGTTTTGTGGTTTGATAAAAACTGACTGTATAATGGGTAGAGTGTTACCTACCCAAAAATACGGTATTTGTGGGTCTGATTGAGATTTCTCCTAGCTTCTTTGTGTTAAATTTCAACGAAATATCTGATTGATATAGAAATGAGTCATTTTCTACTTTAACCATTATGCACTGGATGCTAGTTTTCACAGTCTGATTGAGTAACCCATCTTTGGCACCTACTATGTGAAAGGCACTGAGCTTGCCTCCCAGCATTTTGTGAAAATGGGCAATCGCCGGTCTTCACGTCCCTGGTCCTGGGACTTGAGTACAAGCGAGGCTGGAGCCCATTCCTGCTGATGGCGCGGAAGACTCTCTAGAGAGTTCTCTATTCCATTCCCCAGCAAGAGTGACCCCACCCAGCCCACACACCCTTGGCTTGGTCGTAGGTTCTGGAGAAAGAGAAGAAACGTAAGAAGCGCAGTGAGGATGAGTCAGAGACAGAAGATGAAGAGGAGGAGACAAGCCAGGAGGACCCGGAGCAGAAGAGGAAGAGGTAAGGTGGAGCAAGAGGCTGGGGGTAACTAGGGTCTGGTGCTGCTTGTTGACAGCCTTGCTGAGTTGGAGGAGGGGGGTTCCCGAGAAGAGGAGCACGTGGATGCAGCCCCTCGGCTAGGTTGGTTAGTCGGAGACGTCTGACCCCTCTTCCTCAGACAGAGGTTTTGATCAGATGATTTCTTAGCAGGTTTTTAGTAAGGGCAGGTAATGTGCAAAGAAAGCGTTGGTACTTTGGATCTCTTCTGGAAAAATAGTGATTTATACAGGCCAGGGGTGAGGTGAGGTGAGGGGAGCCCTGATGGTGTAGTGGGTTACGTGTTAGGCTGCTAACCATATGGTCAGCAGTTCGAAGCCACTAGCTACTCTGTGGGAAAAGCCTGAGACTTTCGACTCCTGCAAAGAGTTACGGTCTTGGAAGCCCATAGGGCAGTTCTGTCTTGTTCCGTAGGATCCGTAGGAGTCAGCATCGACTCAGTGCCACTGCGTTTGGATTGGTTTATGGCTTAGTGAGTCACTCCAATGGTGGGAAGCTCTGCTGTGTTCACCCTGTGAGCAAAGGCACAGGGTGGGGGTCCTACAGTCTCTGCTCTGAGTTGCTCTGGGTATTTTAGGAAGAAGCCTCGAAGGGCGGAGGCCAAGGACGGGGACTCGTATGACCCCTATGACTTCAGTGACACAGAAGAAGAGATGCCTCAAGGTGAGTGCGCATCCTGCTGCTCCTGCGGTTTCCTTGACACCGGCCGTTGCTCCTCCGGATATGGTGCTTTCTCACTGGGCTCCCATTCAGTTGCTACTTGGGTTTCTTTTAAGGAGCTCCGGTGGAGTCGTCCGCTATGTGTTGGGCTGGAGGGTCAAACCCCCGGCTGCTCCCGAGAGATAGATGCGGCTTTCTGCTCCAGTAAAGATCTGTTGTTGTTAGGTGCTGCCCAGGCAGTTCTAACTCACAGCAGCCTTGTGTGCAGTAGAACGAGCCACGATGGTCCTGGGCCACCCTCATTGTTCTTGTGGTTTGAGCTCTTTGATGCAACCACTATGTCAGCCCAGCTTGTCTAAGGGCTTCCTGTTTTTCACTGCCCCGGTACTTTACCGAGCATGATGCCCTTCTCCAGGGACTGGTCTCTTCTGACAACATGCCCAAAGTACGTGAGGCCATCCTTGCCTTTAAGGAGCATTCTGGCTGTACTGTCCTTCTTCCAAGACACACTTAGAGCCCTAGAGATGCACCGGGGCAGGCCGTTCTACTCTGTCCTGTAGGAGCACGTTGAGTCAGGATCTTGAGTTGTTGGGGGCTTGGGGGGTGGGCTTTCTTTTATCCAAGAGGTGCCCTGGCGGCATAATGGGCTCGTAACCACTAAGTCAGCAGTGTGTGCTCATTAGTCACTCCAAGGGGAAAAAATGAGACTTTGGCTCCATCCATTTACAGCCTCAGAAACGATCCTCTAGGGTCTCCAATGGGAATTGACTTGATGCCAGTGAGTTTGGGGACTTTGTTTGTTTTTTTAATGCAAGAGGCTTATCCCAAATGAACCTCAGGGGAACGCACAGTAGCAAAATAACATTCATTTCCCTTTGATGAACTGTGTTCTTTGGTGAAGCGTGGGAAAGCGTTCCAGGTCATGCGATTGTAAGGCCTCCGGCCGCCTCAGTTCCTGTGTCATTCACTGGGCGGTTCCACTGAGCTAATTGTTGTCCCCGTGGTTCTGGCTAGCCCCAGAAAACACGAGTATGTGAGCAGGCGGGTGAGGGTGGGAAGTAACATACAGGTGCTGGCGAACAGGGTCTCACTTGGGTGTCTTCCTCAATCTCTCCAACCATGAATCCTCCCCAGTCCATACTCCGAAGGCGGCAGAAGCACAGGAGACCAGAGAATCCCAGAAGGTGGAGCTGAGTGAATCCAGGTGGGTAGGGAAGTTTCATCATGAATTCCATATGCCACCCCCGGGGAGAAAATACGACACTAGCTGTTACCAGATGGAGCTCAAAACTGAAACCCTAGAGCTTTTAGAACTTCTGTATTCTGATTATACTTTCAAATGTACAGCAACGTTGGGAGGATGATACAAGCAATTCTCCTATGTACTCTATGCACTTACATTTTACCGTTTGCTTTATGAATAGCACTCAGCGTAGGGATTTGTATTATGTACTGGTGAGGTAATGAAGAAAATCCAAGAACAAGGTCAACTGTAACCTTGGGTTCTCAGTAAGACACAGAACTCTCTTTTTAGTGCCTCTGTGGGATGTGTGTGAGACCGGTACCACATTTACGTGCGTGTGCACACACACACGTTTTTTCCATTAAATTAGGTCCATTTGGTTTTAGATGGAAAATGGTTACCATTAGGATGAAAGGGGGTTTTTTTGGTTTGTAAATTTTATGTATACTGGATATCAAAGAAACTCCATAGTGAAGGTTTACTTATTTCTTTTTATAACTTAAATAAACACACACACAGCAAGTGTTTTCTGTTGGAAAAACAATTGGAAAATATTGAAAAGTATTTAGAAAAAACACCATTAAAATCCCTTGGAGTTTTACCCCTTAGAGACTTGAAGGATATCTGAAGGTACTTTCTGAATGCAGAAATCAGAGCGAGCTGGCTGTTTTCTATGGTGTGTGGATGTGTTAAATCAATTTAGCATGTTTCCTAATGCCAGATATTTAAGGTCATCACACAATTGCTGTTTATAGTAAAACACTTTTTTATCACTGCACATACATCCAAGGATAGCAGTAAGCTGTATATTCCTAGAAGTCTGAGGTTTAAATTTTACGTTGAGGTTATTAAATTACCCCACAGATGTTTCAATAGTCGATGGTCATACAAACAGCCTATTAGATTGTGGCTTTCCTACACTCAAAAGGCTCTTTGATTTGATTGAAAATGTTTTCTCCATGTGCATGAAGATAAATTCGTGGGTGGGGCAGCCCCCAGGCAGAAGTGTGTGTAAAAGACAGACTGACTGACTGCCTCTTGGAAGACACCTGCGCCGACAGTCGTGGTCCCCGGGGTTCTTCTACTGTGTATCTGACCTGAGAGCACTAATGCCCCCTTTGCGCTCTCTCCTGCCCGGGCAGGTTGCAGGCCTTCAAGGTAGCCCTCTTGGAGGTGTTCCGGGAGGCGCACGCCCAGTCGGTGGGCATGAATCGCTTGACAGAATCCATCAACCGGGGCACAGAAGAGCCCTTCTCCTCAGGGGAGATCGAGGCCGCCCTGAGCAAGATGCAGGACGACAACCAGGTCATGGTGTCCGAGGGCATTATCTTCCTCATCTGAGGAGGGCCGAGCTGCACCCTGGGAAGTTTCTCCCATGCTTCCTCCCTGCCTGCCTCTGCCATCCTAGTGGCTGCCTTCCTCAGCTGAGGGACTGAAGGATGGACACTGGCGACAACGCTGCTGAGAGCTCGAGGGACGCTGTAGAAATGGGCACTAGCCCTGCCATGATGTCAAAGAGGAAGGCGGAAGAGAACTAAGACCAGTTACTGGATCTTCCCTTGCTCACTTCCCTTGCATCCCCCAACCAACCATTGCTCCTCTCAGTAACACATGAGGGCTGAGCCTGTGTGTGTGCAGGGTGGGGCAGCGGGGGGATGAGGGTGCTCAGGGGAGCACCACTGGCGCTGTTTCCTCCTCTCTCTGTGTAGATATTCTTGGCTGATATTTCTTTCCAGAACACTGTGGTCTAGAGCATGGTTTGGGTTCTTCTCTGCTGCTGGAGAGAAGCTTTGAGGCAAGCCGTTCTGGCCATTGCAGCTTTCTTTGCACTGGTTACGATTAATAAGGCTTTTTCTTTCCTTTTTTTTTGCCCACATATGCCAAAAATTGAATAAATCTGTTTGTATAGAATACTCATGCCTGGGTACATACTGTGTGCATTTCTGTCTGCATTTCGCTCTGCCCTCCATGGAAGCTCGGCTCAGTTGGATTTGCTAACTCACATATCAAGCTCCCACAAGGTGGCAGCAGGCGCCTGCGCTTTCTTTGGTGATGGGTCTTCTCTTCAGCAGGTTTTCCTCCTTAAGCAACACGAGCATGTTAAACTGTGCAAAGCAAACCCTTGGGATATGAAATGGTTCAATGGTCACAGGAGACCAGTGAGTGGAAGTTGACTAGAAGACTGATCCTTTGCCTGGATTTGCCAAGTCTGAGTCAAAGCTGCTTCCTGGGGAATAATGCCTGATCAGGCAAACCACCCACTGCCCTGGAGTCAGTTCCGACATTCCACCCTTTGGTCCCGAGGAGAACTGCTCCTTCGGGCTTCCAAGGCTGTAATCGTCAGGGAAGCAGGTGGCCACATCTCCCACAGACCTTTAGTAAGCAACCCAGCACTTTGAACGCTGCTCCACTAGGACGCCTATAGCTGACGAGTCAGAGGCTGCAAAACCATGTGACTTCATGTCCATAAAGGATCCTTGGTACCACCTAAACCTGCAGCCTAAGACCTTTGGGGCTCGTTTGCCGGTTTGTACAGAACTTTGTGGTGTGGCTTGAGTGCCTCCAGAGAACTCCCAAGTTCTTTTAGAAGAGCATAATAAACGCACAGATGGAGGACCGGAGGGGCTGGGTGTCCTGTGGGCTGCGAGCTGCCTCGGCTCTGTGAAGAAGGGGTGCCAGTTCTCAGCTGTAAGATTGGAGAAGTCCCCGCTGACCCCTGCCCAGAGGCCACAAAGCAAACTATCTCACGGCCCTAGGACTTAATGAATGACTCCTAGGAGGGAAGGTAACATTACAGGAGTGTTCAGCTTCATGGTTGTGATACTTTGATAGACGTGCCAGCCAGCTGGACATGATCCAGAGAACTCAAATCCAAAGGAGGCGCAGAAGTGACGGGAAGGAGGAATGTGAGCACTTGAGATGAATCAGACTAGATGCAGTCGTGAGTGCAAGTTCACGACAGGGTCTAGGCCAAGCCTACTGCCATCAGGTCACTTCCAGATCAGTGGCCCCGCAGGACAGTGGAACTGCTCTGAAGGGCTTCCACAGCTGTAGATCTGCAGAGGCATAGATGGCTGCATCTTTTTCCCTAGGTAGCAGCCTGACGCTTAACCCATAGCACCACCACAGCACCCTTTGTGACCTATAAGCTGGAGGATACGAATGCCAAATTTGAGAATAACATTTTTAAATAGGAGTCATAACAAGTACAGGAATGGAGGGACGCCATGAGACTGGCTGAGAATGGTGGGAGCTTCTGGCAATCATCCCTTCTGGGAAAGCTGGGGTTTTCAGAGTTGCCTCTTAGAAATGTTTCAGAAAGGCCAAACCCTATGGAAGACGTACTCCTTATCTTTTAGTCACGAGGTGCGAGCAGCACTGGTGATGGCTACTAGCAAGTTGATCTACCTGCAAGCTAACCAGAAGAGTAGGAGTAGAAAATGTACTCCGCAGTTACAATACACGTTTCTTGATGCCAAAATACTTTAGAACTCAGTGCACCTTTTATGGAGTTTAAAAAATAGGTACATTTTCCTAACTTAGAGCAACTGAAAAGGCATTGGTCAGCATTGTAAGTTGCTCTGGGCAGTCGTGGTCTTCACACACACAGCCGGGTGGCAACAGAACTGGCCCATAGGGTTTGTCTGGGTTCTAATCGATACAGGAGCAGATAGATGCCTCTGGTCTTTTCCCCACGGATCTGCCAGGAGGGTTTGTAATCTTTTGCGTCGCAGCTGAGCTACACAACTTACTGGTTGTGCCACCGGGATGCGTTTTACCTTTTTGAGAGGTCCCTTATTCCTGAAGGGGCTGCTGAGGTAGGGGCTACCGGGTCTGCCCATCAAACACACCTGAGGGCATTGCCACGGTTATAGATTGTAATGACCTGGATTTGTCAGAAAAAGAAATCCTACATTTGCGTCTTTAAGGAGCTTTACCCTGGTGGTACAGCTGTTCAGCACTGGCTGCTGAGAGGGCAGTGGTTTGAGCCCAGCAGGCAGCCGCTCCAGGAGGGAGAGTCAATCTGACAGCCTTGGAAGTCCACTGTGGTCCGGGGCTGCTGTGAGTCGGACTCACCTGGACAATAGGGGGGTTAATAGGAAGGTCATTTTGTCTCTTCATCACTTATGTTTACTGTCTCAAGATGGTGTCATAGAGGGTGTAAGCCTTTGTCAGTGTTACTGTGATTGAGCTGCACAGATAGTGTACCCACTGTCACCGGGCAACTTCTGGTAAATTCTAAGCTGCTGGTTTCAACTGTGAAATGATGATAACGAGGTCTTTGAGTGGCAACCGCAATAGTAGGTGGCATGTGCCTACCAAGCACGGAACTGTTTCATGACGGTTCTATTATTACTTAAAGTTCCACTAAAATGAAATGGTGGGTTTCCAGGAGTGTTTAAAAACGTCATCCTTCCATCAAAACCCAGGTAGAACAGCATGGCGAGGCGGCCAGACTGAGAGACGATGAGCCTTCTCTCGTGCTCCACGGCACTGCTCTGCTTTGTGAGTAAGTGCCCCGAGATGTCTCCAGAAGTCTTGAGATATTGCTTCGTTCCTAGAAAAATCTTACCAGAAAATTTGTTGTAATTGGCTGGAATACAAACCTAGTTCACTTTCTTTTTCAGGTCTGATGCCTCAGTGACGAGGCCCGGATTCTGGGCTGGTCTGTTATTAACCAGCATGGCATCCTAGCTCATTCTCTTCTGTCTTTCCTCAAGGGAGAGAATTAAAGATTCTACATTCTCTTCCTGAATATTTTTACTATTAAGTCCTGAGTATTTTCCCACAGCTTCTAGGAGGATATTAGCCTCCACTGAGATTTAGCATTCTGATTATCGTTCTCTCAGCAGGGATGCGTGGTAGCAAGCTAAGCCTTTCTACCTTGAAGTACCAGCATTTAACCTTGCAATGGAAAGGTCAGCTCCTGCCACCTTGCCTGTGCATGCTGCTAGTCTATCCATTTAAGTTGAGGGAGCCCTGAAACTGGGAGGGATGAAGCCTCCCAGTCCTTTAAAAACTGAGCTCAGAATTAGAATCTAACCATGGGCATAGTTAAAGTATTGTGGCTAAGAAAACAGTGCTTTATCAAGTCTTCAGGGTAACAACAATACAGTACCTCACTACCCTAGAATAACCACCATGATTGATTTGTTTGGTAGCCCTGAAAACCCTTGTGAAGAGTAACACCTCACAACATCAGCCATCTCAGCAAGTCATGGAGGCATTTAAGAAACTATAGGAAGGTCCAGACTTGACGGAGAGTGCTTTTGAACTTGAAGTAGGGTTCCTGGAAAGACTGCTGCAGAAGAAATGCAGAGAATCACATGTCACATTTAACCCTCTTACTGCCATTGAGTGAATGCTGACTCAGCAACCCCCTGTGTGTTCCCGAGACTGCAACTGTCTACAGAAGAAGAACCCCAGCCTCTTTCCCCTTAGATCTGCTGCTGGTTTTGAACTGCCATCCATGAGGATCACAGCCCAATATGTCACGTCTACATCACTAGGTCTAGTGGATAAGAAGTCAAGCAAATGACAGTTGACTAGGAATCTGATAGATTCCAAGCTCCCAAACTGTGAGCCTCACTCTCAGGAGCAGCTTCTTCGTGCACCGAGTAACCGGGACAGATGAGGGCATGGCCATATGCATAGCTATCATTTATTAAGTGCTTACTGTGTACTAAGCTTTGTGGGAGAAAGATGATTTACAGTCTCAGAAACCCAAAGGGGCAGTTCTACGTTGTCACGTAGGGCTGCTATCAGTCAGAATTGACTCAGTGGCAGTGGGTTTGGGTTACGTACTGAGCGCCACATAAAGTCGTCTTTATTCTTCGCTGCAATCCTGTGAGGTGATTTTGTTCATCCCAATTTTATAGAAGAATCTACTTTAGAGAGATTAGGTACTTTTCTGGGCGTCTCAAGTAGTAAATTTGAACTCGGCAGAGTCTAGATTGGTGACTAAACTGCTTCTAAGTGTTTAGGGTACTCAGCATGGTAGATGTCAGAGCCACCTCTCTCCGTGACCCTGGTGATCAGGACAGTGGAGTTCTAGGAGGCCTCTGAGCACGTGGTCAAGATGAAGCTGAACCCTGGCGATGTCCCTGAATACAGAGAAGCCTACGTGGCAGTGACTCCTATTTCTCATCCTCTCAAGAGCTTGTGTGGTGGCTGTTAGAGATTACCTTTGTCGAATCTAAAAAGTAAGACAGTTCAAGCAGTTTTTTCTTAATACACAAACAGGATATTTCTTTTAGAGAAACTGAAAAAATTACTATAAGAAAAAAATAATAGAAAACACCTAGAACCAGCCACTTAGGTAAACAGAGAAAACTTTGATTAACAAGAAAAAAAGATTAAAGTTATAGGTATGTATCAGTCACTAAAGAGTGACCAGTCATTAATAAATGGCTTCTGTCCTCACATGCACGAGGAATGTCCTTTGACCTCCACCCTTGCTGACATGGGATATCATTTCCTCCCTACACCAATCACTACATTTAGTCGGTTGAGACTTGAAGCTAATTTTTAAGCTTTCCCACCATGTGTTTCTCACA